TTTGCGGTGTGCTATGTTTGTGGTGTGCTATGTTTTGCGGTGTGCTATGTTTGTGGTGTGCTATGTTTTGCGGTGTGCTATGTTTTGCGGTGTGCTATGTTTGTGGTGTGCTATGTTTTGCGGTGTGCTATGTTTGTGGTGTGCTATGTTTTGCGGTGTGCTGTGTTTGCGGTGTGCTATGTTTGCGGTGTGCTATGTTTTGCGGTGTGCTGTGTTTGCGGTGTGCTGTGTTTGCGGTGTGCTGTGTTTGCGGTGTGCTATGTTTGTGGTGTGCTATGTTTTGCGGTGTGCTATGTTTGTGGTGTGCTATGTTTTGCGGTGTGCTGTGTTTTGCGGTGTGCTATGTTTGCGGTGTGCTATGTTTGCGGTGTGCTGTGTTTGCGGTGTGCTATGTTTGTGGTGTGCTATGTTTGCGGTGTGCTGTGTTTGCGGTGTGCTGTGTTTGCGGTGTGCTGTGTTTGCGGTGTGCTGTGTTTGCGGTGTGCTATGTTTGTGGTGTGCTATGTTTTGCGGTGTGCTATGTTTGTGGTGTGCTATGTTTTGCGGTGTGCTGTATTTTGCGGTGTGCTATGTTTGCGGTGTGCTATGTTTGCGGTGTGCTGTGTTTGCGGTGTGCTATGTTTGCGGTGTGCTATGTTTGCGGTGTGCTGTGTTTGCGGTGTGCTGTGTTTGCGGTGTGCTGTGTTTGCGGTGTGCTGTGTTTGCGGTGTGCTGTGTTTGCGGTGTGCTATGTTTGCGGTGTGCTGTGTTTGCGGTGTGCTGTGTTTGCGGTGTGCTGTGTTTGCGGTGTGCTATGTTTGTGGTGTGCTGTGTTTGCGGTGTGCTGTGTTTGCGGTGTGCTGTGTTTGCGGTGTGCTATGTTTGCGGTGTGCTGTGTTTGCGGTGTGCTGTGTTTGCGGTGTGCTGTGTTTGCGGTGTGCTGTGTTTGCGGTGTGCTGTGTTTGCGGTGTGCTATGTTTGTGGTGTGCTATGTTTTGCGGTGTGCTGTGTTTTGCGGTGTGCTATGTTTGTGGTGTGCTATGTTTTGCGGTGTGCTGTGTTTTGCGGTGTGCTATGTTTGCGGTGTGCTATGTTTGCGGTGTGCTGTGTTTGCGGTGTGCTGTGTTTGCGGTGTGCTGTGTTTGCGGTGTGCTGTGTTTGCGGTGTGCTGTGTTTGCGGTGTGCTGTGTTTGCGGTGTGCTGTGTTTGCGGTGTGCTATGTTTTGCGGTGTGGCGTCCTTTGAAGGGCAACTGAGAGTGTGTCCAATCCTTTTCAGTCATCTTTCATAAATCTTCTGTGGTCGTAGTAGTAGTGTTATTTTTTGGTCTTTCTTTTCATTTTTATTTTTGTTGTTCTCTCACCTTTGTCACACTCCAGCAAAAGTGTGACCCATGTCGCGTGTGCTGCTAGTTTCATTTTAATCTCACTGTCTTGAATGCTTGTAGATCTTGTCATGTATTCCAAATGCAGCAGCAGCAGCAGCAGCTCCTTCGATATAGTTTTGTCGTCGTTGTAATGTCCATTTTTCGGTAGTAGTCCTCCTAAAGTACAGAGTTTTATGTTCATGCTCATGTCATCTTCTCTGACTTGGATATTACCTCTTCCCCATGTCCCTTCCAATCAATGTTTTTTTCCAAATTGATCTTCATTTCAGATGTTCCGCTTTCCCGGTCTGCCTTCTCGGTTGCTCTCTGCAGACCGTTTTTGGACACTGCTATGAGCCCAATATCATCCCACACTCCAAGCTTACTCCTTTCTCCTGCTATCCAGCGTGTGACGACCGTTTCATCTCTGTGTTCGAGTCATTGCAGCATCTCACGCGTGCATTGGAACAAGTCTGGTGACAGTGCGCGTGGTGTCTCACTCCTACATCCTTGTCTCATCCCGTTCCATCAGCCACCTTGGCTTTGTTCGCCCCACTCATCAACTTGCCTTAGATGTTTTATGTTTTCTTGATCAACTCTTTGGGGATGCCATACATTTTCAAAACTTGCAATAGCCTTCAGCCAGATTCTATCAAAAGCCTTTTTGAAGTATTTGAAGTTCATTCACCTATGATTATATCCGGTTCTCCGGGCTATTGAGTCGATGATCTGAGCCAATTTACCAACGAATATATAATGGGCAAGCATCTATCCATCACACAGTGCATCTCCCTGATGGGATGTCGTGTGAAAACAAGCATAAAAACAAAGGCGTTTCTCTTGGCAAGGACAAAAAAATTGAAAAATAACATCAAATACAAACCAATCGGGACCAAAATCTTTTGGAAGACTTTTTTTGGTAGAATCGTCTGGACGGTGGGTTCCCCATTGGCTTATATTTAAACCTGGTGCGCATGACGTCATCGTCCATTGTATAACGCCTTTGACTTCTCCGTGCACACATCACCCTCGAGGGCTGTGTGACGCCGTGATGACGTCATCAATAATAACTCGAATCCAAACGGGCGCGGTGAAGCTATATCCTATGTGGACAGCGTTGGTCAACAATATAAAAATGTGTATTTTTTTAATATTTCGGATTATTCCAGTTGTAATGAATATAAATTTAGTTTGATTGCCATTTAATGAACACATTACACTGCACAAGCGCGCACCCCATTGTGTTGTGTTGGGTGAGAAAGTCTTTTTCGAGTGACATCACAAGTGATTTGTAATTGCGTCTTGCAGGGGCTGGTCTTCGGCACGATGCGACGACACGTTGCTTGCTTGAGAGTTCTGCATACACATTTCTTGGGTCTTATCATGATGCGGGTAGTAAAGTCAGAATAAAACGTGGTTGGGATAAAACCGCCAATGGGCTATAGCCCAAAGTGTCTGCCTGTTCATGCGGGCAAGCGGCGCAGACTTCATCGGCGTTGGCAACCCCAGATAGACGGTGGCTTCGAGCCCAGGGAATTGAGGTGGCACCTCCTAACCATTGACCGCGCAAAATCAGTCGGCACATGCATTTGTTTTTCTCGCTCGATTTGGCAAATTTATTGTTGTGAGAATTGAGCAACATTCGTTTTGACAATCGTCGTGCAGCAGTCTAATTGGAGAGTCCAAAAATGCATCCTCTGTTGGGTAAAGGGTAACAAAGTCACTTGAAGGATGTCTCGGGAGAAATCGCTGCCAAAAAACCTCTTCCGCGGGTCGTACCCTTGGCACGTGCTGCTCGCTGGGGTTTCCGCCATGTTGTTCTGACAGCTGAAATGACGTGGAACAAAAATATAATGAAGAGGGACATTCCCGAAATTCCACATTCCCATGACAGGCGCCCGTAGATCCAAATAACAACCACTGCCGCCGTAAAGTGGTGATCGCGTTGTCACCGCCAAGAGGATTACGGGCCGAGTGAAACCCTCTGCTGGAATTTGCCCTCGCCCTTCCTCGCGGTCGAGCCGAGCACCGGAGCGCCATCGCCACCCGGCCGTGTTCGTCGTCCCAGCTCCACGGCGCTCGCCGCCCGAGTCGATGCTTAGCCGCAATTTCTCGATAGTCAAAGCAGAATTCCAGTCGCGTCAATCGCCTGCACGTGTACGTTGCGGGCGCGCCATTGTGCGTGCGTCGCCACGTTCACAAAAAGGGCAGCAGGGGCACAGGCAGGCGCCGAAGGTATTTGCAGCCGGTCGATTTCACCCCCCCCCCCCACCCCGTGGGGGGTTTTCGGTGATGAATTTCCCTGCTTGATTGTCCAATAACCTCGTGAAAAATTGACCCCCACGGTTCCTTGAGTCTGTGCTCGCGGCTCTGCAGCCATCGGGTGTGGCGAGATGAAGGTGGCGTGCGGCGCTACGACGCCAGCGTGCCAGGCTCCATTCTGAATCCTCGTAGGGTCCGGAGCGGCCGGAATGAATGCCTATTGCAGGACCCCTCCCCCTCCCCCCCCAGCTATGCTGATGCAAACCACCCGTGCTGGATATTTCAGCATGTAACCCAGTAAAGCAAGTAGGCTTCCTACCCAGCTGCGTGGAGTTATCGCCTCACTTCTGTTATCCCTTTGCATTGTCCAGGCTACTTTCGGCTCTTCCCTCTTGCCAAAGAACGGATAAGCATTTGGCCAGACTTCCTCTCTTCTCCAGAGAGCATTGCTCATGTCTGTTGGTGCCCACACGTCATGCTTATGTCGGAGGCCAGTCTCTTCATTAGACAACCACAGGGAGAACACGATTGCGTCTAAGGCTTGAAGCCGAGTGAAGTTTTCCCAGTGACACAGCCGCAGAGTTTTGGCGGTGACACGGCCGAGCGGTAACTCGATTTGCCGCTTGTTGCAGAGTCCCACGGTTCCAATCCAGCGGCCACCAGGATTAATCCGGCGTGCGTGTTAGCAGCGCAAACGCCACACGCCGGTCTGCTTCGCCGTGGACGTTAACGATCCCGCGATGTCATTCGCAAGAGTAGGCCATTGCGTGCCGGGGGTCACGGTCCAAATAAAAAAACAAATACCCGTAAGTGACTAATTTGGAATATGCACAGCACCGCAATCATCACACGACTACTTCGAAAACTTGGCAGGAACCCAGGCTCGGTGAGGCTTTTTTGCGGTAAACAAACACGATCAAGTATAATTAGTTTTAAGTCAAAATATAATTATTGTTTCACACAAGAACACTCGGCCTGTCGTGTGAGACAAAGGCAGCAGCTGGGCAAAGTGCTGCTTCCAGCTAACTCGTGTGCGTACCTCTGTCTGTAGCAGATGCTTGCTAACAACAGCTATACCAGTCAATATATTGAGTATATTGGAGAGCTCTTTGTACGTGTACAGTAAAAGTAACGTGATCATAAATACTTGGTTACAATTTCAACAACCGTGGCGCAACCCCGCCTATGCATGAATTTGGAAGTCTATAACTGTGCCCTGAGCTGGTCTCTCTTAGGTGTTACTCAGCCCAAAATTGAGTGCCAAGGTGGTAGTTTGTCATATCTCACAAAAGACGCGTACACTGATTAGAGCAACACCGCCCCCTCGTGCGACTGGGCACATAATGATGATTTGACGCATCTGTCTGTGCGTTTGCCATCTGTAACCCCCACAGATCTTCATAATAGGACTCATCGCAGATCGCAAGTTCCAGCATTTTCACCCCGTGCTGGAGGCCTACATCTCGCAGCACTTCAGCGCCACGCTGGCTTACGCGTAAGTGTGCACGGGCGCGAACGCACACACGTGTTGATCTATATACATACACAAGCACGCACACCCATACTACAACAAACGTCATTCGCCACTAAGTGGCGGTGACATTACCGTGGCACTTGTGTTAGGCTATGTGCACTATGAGGCCACGTGAAATGTTCAAAGCTCACAAGCGGGAGGTCACGGGACATATCCAGGTGCCATAGGTTGCTGAGATGACTGGAAAATGCACCAACTTACTGTGTTTTAGCTGCACGGTGCTCCGCTCGTTGTTGTTGGAGGACAACTGCCTTCAACTGCCCAGTAGGGTCCAGTGGCGATGTTTACACACCGCACCAGGTACTCATTTGAGGCTGAGTCGACCTAGGGCAAGCCTAGAGCCGGTTCAGATAATCGTCACTGGTGTTGGCCGTGAGCGGGAATGGAACTCGGGTCACCGGGTTCATAGCGCAGCGTGCTAACCGCTACACCACCACTGGCACACACGCACACACATGCATGAGCACACTATCTTTGATTTTAAAACAACAAGACCAGACGCCATTCGGCACTAAGTGACGGTGACATCACCGTGGCATATGTAGCAGGCTTGGTGCACTTTGTAATTTGGAGTAGCAAGGGCTATGAGTTAACAGAGCAGGGTGAATTGCCAATGTACCATTATGCCAACCCGCTGCATCTTTTCTGCTAGACACTGGCTTGTTGTGGGTTTTGCGCCCTGTTGTTGCTGGAAGACAGCTCTGACAACTGTCCACTAGCGCCATGAGAACGATTGTTTGAGGGCACTTTATAAATTAACATTATTATATTATTATTAATAGCATCTCTCACAAACTTCCTGCGCACACAAAAAGGCTGATCCTGAAAGTGCCGGTACCACTTCTTAGCAAGTTCACCCAGCACCAAATCCTCCTGTGCAATATCTGATCCACTCATCTGTTCGCAAGCTCATGTCATGGCTATTTAGCTCCCTTTTTCTGTCCGCAATGTCAGCCGAGAGCTGTAGAGAGCTCAGGTCAGAGCTGTAGAGAGTCTGCATTGATGTTAATACATGAACATGCCTCTTTAATATACACATGCCACAACATTGATCGGCCTCTGTGGAAGAAGTTTGTGAAGGACGCTCCTTGGCATTTGGAGAAAGTCCTGCTCCAATGACAATGGAGGGCAGAGGAGCGACTCTCACAAAGAGCAAAGTGCCAAGCAGCTAAAACGTTGTCGCATTGGGGAGGGACAGTGGGTGTATCTGTCAGTCATCACAGTCGGTTAATCCACTTCACGTGATCTCAAATTGGAGCTAGCCTGGCACACTCGGTCTGGTGACGTCACCGTAACTTAGGGGCGAGGTGGTGGCCATCGTTGTATGAAATGAGTGGCAATGGAATATTGATTAGCTCTTGTGAGCTTTAGCCTTGATGAATTTTCAAATATTGTGCTCTGAATACATTTGGAAATGTTTCGCTAAACATTTAAGCATACAGGCGGATGTTAGCTCAGATGTGCGCATGCAAATGACTGAGACACAAACTAATTTAGTCCTCTGTGTTTTTTTTAAATCGGTAATTAAAATGTGAAATGAACAAATTATTTAATCTCGAGTAGTAATTTAATGCATTGTTGCTGCTGCGCATGGCTACGTGATAATCAACGAAATGCATTTGTATAAGCAGGACCGGGTGTGCACTAGTTTTTCAATTTAACATGAAAGCAAAGCTGGAAGAAAAGGTCAGGGTTTTACAGTGGCTACTTTTACCGTATTTGGAATTCAGCTGTAAAACTCACAATTAATCACGGCGGTTTGCAACCCGAGGTCACAGACTTCTTAGGTCCGGGTTTGTTAGCGCTTTGTACTATAGAAACACATGTAATAATTATCGCGTTCATAAAAATAACAACAACAACAACAATTATCGATATTGTCTCCACGTTTAAACCAACTCTCCGGGAGCCGTTATTGGTTGGGAGCAAATTTTTTAAGTGCAACAATGTGGACGGAAACAAAGAGGGCAATGAAACTAAACAAACCCCCTCCCTCAACAATAAATAGCAAAAATATGAATCACTCGTTTTGCAAAAGTTTGTGAAGGAAAACAAAACGAGCCTCTGGATTTTCTGTGTGCACAGCAGAAGCGTGTTCCATGACACAAAGGATAATGACTCGGGTGGAAGGTCTCTGTTTGCGCTTGTAAACTTCCTCCAATGCTACCCACCATTTCAGTCGTAGGCTCATTCGTCACAACAATAAATAACAGTTTATATCAGCAGCTTTTTATTTACATCTCTTGAAGCAACTTAAAGTCCAGTGCGGTCAATACCAACTTAAATTCCAGGAATAGAGACAATCCGTGGTGGAGGCCGCGATGGTACATTTTGTCGTCGATTTTCCAGTTCGAACGTAAATTCGTGACGCCCGTGTTAGAACACCTGCGTGTACAAGCGCACCTGTGGCCCCCTCGGTGCTTCGCTCACCCTGTGTGTGCCTGTTCGCCACTCGGCATGAAAACACATTCCTGGCAGCAATGCCAACTGTGCTTGGAAGGTCATTGCACAGTTTCAAAAGGTCCATTGAATGTTTCACGATTATTGGGTTTAAACGGTTAAAGGTGCAGCCCCTGGCATTGCCTGCTCACGCCAATGTTGGTGGAAGGGACACCACTGGAGGATAACTCCGGAGAGCTCCTCCTAGAGGTTATTTGGCCTACTCTTCCATTATGGGCAGACGTCTTGGAAGAGGATGGGATGCCCACACTTTACCCCATCAAACACCACCTACCGATCGGCTAACTGTGGTGAACCCATTTGTACAGCTGGGTTGGTTGGCGGGAGAATTTAAGAAACTTACCCCATTGTTTCAGGTGATCGAACCGAAGACCTTCGGTTTCCATGTCCAGTGTGGTGACCATTAACACCACGGGTAGCCAGCCGTTCGTCTCTGATGTCGCAAGTTGCTCACTGCTTGATGAAGACCGAGTGCATTCCTCAAATAGCTCGAATAAACCACACAATTCAATTGGTATTGGCCAAACATCCTAAAAGCTTAAACATGACCTGCAAATTACTCAATTGGCATGGCACCAACATCTCGCCTGATCTGCAGGGCCCTCCTATAAAGGAGCCTTGAGACTTTCCTGGATAAAGAAGCAAAAAAAAAAAGTGATTTTTTTTTTTTTGCACCAACTGTGCTCATATGCGCTTGTGTTTTTTCCCTGTATGATCACCCAGCTCCCGATTACAAACTGGAGAGTATCTCAACGGCGTCTTACAAAAATGCGGTTAACGGAACGCCAGTAATTTGAAATGGGGATTCGGCAACGTTGCTGACACAGGCATCCTAGTCGGCACGCACAGATCGGTGACCCAAGGGGAAGACCTAAAGCCCGACCTTGGAGGTTAGGTGTCGACTGTGCAGCATTGGGCCGAGACTAAGGAAGTGACGGAGCTGTGGCATTGGTGCCATTGGCGGCCACGATGACCCTGTTCACCTTACCAATGAATTGGCAGAGGATGGGGAGCAGCTGGCGCGGCAATGCACTTAAATCGCCGAGCTCGAGGGGGACAGTCCTCCTGAGGTTCGCTTGGGGAGAGACGGCGGGAGGCTCAGGGCTGCATTTGTCGCTGAACTCACCCACGCTGAAGCTGGCTGCTTGCACCCTGCTTCGTTGCACGCGTCGGCTAATTGTGGATAATTTATCAGATGTTTGGCCCGGTGCTTGGATAAAAAGTGGCCTGGCATTTTGTTATACCTACACATGTCCCAGAACAAACTAACAAGGAACATTTGACTGATGTTTCATCTAATTGACCCAGAATTCTGCAATAGAGTGCAGCACATTAAAATGAAATTTTTAATTGGCTACCGTTGTGCCAGCAAATTAGCCTGCAGTTTTTCAACACGGTCGTTTATTCCTCATTTAAATATAAGCAATCCTTGGAAAAGCTGCTATGCAGTGATTCGCTAATTATCATCTGGCTTAAATAACCAGAAAAGTTTTCAAAACATCCTCGGGTGGTTATTGACCTTTGAAGTCTGGCCGACCTCGCAGCTTTTTCACGAACCGGCTCGGGCGCATGCGCGCGTTTCCGTGGAGCGGCGGCGCGCGCCGGTGCCTCCTCCGTGTTGCCGCGCTCGCTGCTCGGGAGATGTCGGCGCTCGCTCGTTGAGGCGCGGCGGTGGCGTCGTCGACGCTTCCCGCCCAGCGCTCTCTCTTCCATTCCCCGCGCTCGTTTTTGCCCGCGGGGACGCGCATCTGCGGCAAGGGGGGCTGGAGGGGGAGCCTTGGTATTTGAGATTTGGCCCAGGCAGCTGGCGAATTAGAGCCGGCCCGAGATTTAATTGCTCCACGGTGGGATAAATAGCCATGACACCAGGGTCGGCGCCCCTACTCTTTTAACAAAGAGCACCTGGGGATTTTTAAATTAAAGTTCACGTGATGTGAAAAATTACATGAGGGAATTAAACGTGGCCCGCAGGCTGATGGAATAGGTCCCCAAAACACACTACATATTTTTTTCTTTAACACAGATTAAGAGATTCCAGGTTTTGATGTCTGATCAAGGTGGTTGAAGGTTTTGGACAGTTCGGCCGAATCCGTCGCTGTAGTCTAAGTGCTAAACTCATGTTTTTTGAGGAAAAAAACCCCTAAATAGTTCCACATTGTCAAGTAAACACTGGTTGTCCGATGGAGAGATTGAAAAAAATCGTCCTCGTCATGAGAATGTGGACTCAGATGTGGCTCATTTTCCTCGTGCTCGACACACTACCTCACTCGAACACCTACACACCACAGCGTGTGCGCATATTTCAGCGTCAATAACATGTTTGCCGCTCATATTTCAAGCAAACAACCTAATTACATGTCTGCTTGTGCGTATGCAGCCGTGTTATCCTGTAACAATTGGCTATAAATTGTCTTAAGCTTCCAGTTTTCTAAAACCACATTTCCAATCATGAAGTTATATGGACACTGGATTTGTGATGGGCCCTTTTATTTATTCAGTGCAATAAATTGGTCCTTTTACACTCGGTTGCTGATGTAACAATGTGACCAAAATGCAAGTGTGCGAATGAAATGGTGCCATATGCTTGCTATGCAAACCATATTTTTCATTTGCTGCAATTTCCGTGGCTTAGTTGGAGATTTAATTCTAATCCTCGGAAAGTTTTCAAAGTGGGCGGCTTACAGCTCGTCTTTGCCAGCTGCGGAAATGTCACCCGCTTTCTGGCTTCCAATTTCTTGAGCCTTGTAATTCCCGGGGATTGTGCTGGTAAAGCGCCATGATCACTCTGTTTAACTCCGCCTGTCAACTCTGGCCCTTCATCTTGCCTGTCTGAATCGCTCAACAGCACCAAATCATGCTCCCCTTGTCATTTTGCCCATTCTTGTTCAATGCAAACGTGTGGCCATTGCACAATATCTCTCGGGTCAGTTCAATGCGGTGGCCTTTGACCTGTTTTGAGCCTGTTGAGATTAGTTGCCTCTTTTTTTTTGCGATCGAGAATTTGGAAAGCGTTGTTGTTATTCAGGGGCAGTGATTTTTTTTTGTAGGTTTGTTGAGGGTCATGTTGACGTTTTCAACAGAGTGGTTTCCTATGTGGTAAGAGCCCTTGCCATGGGAATGTGGAGTTAGTGCTGCTGACCCAGGCCAACTGAAATGATTAATCTGCCATGCTCATTTAAATCCGGGAGAACTTTTAACTCAGATTTTTTATATATTGAGATATGACCTCGTAAACTGGCACACAAAGGCCTGCTATATCGAATAGTAATTTGGGTAATTAGAAATGTTCAACATCGGTCCTATTTTAGAGGCTGGCATGTGCCCTTGGAAATGTGGAATGTACACCGTTGCCAAGGGAACACCTTTAGAGATGAGCGACTCGGTCAAAACGGAGTCAAAGCGGAGAGATGTTTTGACTCGTTATGTTTTTCCAATAATTCAATAATGGCCGATAGCCTGACTATCAATGACCATGTGAGTAGGGTGGTGCATGATAATAATAATAATCGTGACCACAGTTTCGAATTAACAATGATGGTGCCGATGGTGATGTGCTGAGCACGGCAATGACACGCCAAGCGATGATGGCGGCCGTGAGAGCAGTGAGCGATTGTGAGGATGCCCGCCAGCTGCGATGATCGAGTGCCCATGAGCCCTGTCGTGCCGTTTCAGGAAACTCACGAAGGTGCTCAAGTACTATGTGGACAACGTGCAGGCCAAGGACATCGCTGACCCTCTGCTGCGTGCCATGAAGTCCCTGGAGTACGTCTTCAAGTTCATCGTGCGGTCAAGGATCCTCTTCGTGCAGTACGTACCGATTCGTGCCGGGTGCCGGGCTGTCGGTAACACCACGCGCGTGCGAGCACCGTTCACGTTTTGTCGTTCTCGGTTGACGTACGAGCTGTGTTTTTTCAAATATCGCCGGACTCTTCGGGGTAGACGCTTCGCGTATCCTCGAGGGAGACCAGTCTTGACACCGGGAATGAGGAATTTCCTCCACTTCCTTAGGACCACCAATGGAAATGAACTTTTGAGCAGGTATACAATTAATAATCATCATCGGCCACAATTAACCGCTGCTTGGATGTTGGCCTCCCCGAGCCGTCTCCCATGGTTCTGCGACGTGACGATCCATTTGGCACCCGTACACGAGCTGATTTCATCGCTACATCTCCTAGGCTGACGTAATGTCAGACGCGTTCCATTCCCTGACTGCCATTCCATCACTTGCCCCATCGACCATCATCCCTTCTAGCAACGCGTGTTGCCCAAGCCCACTTACTACTGTTAACAGTTTGAATTATATCTTTAAGCTCTGTATGTTCTCTAAGTCACGTGTTCCTCTTTTTGTCTCTGAACTGAACCAATTCAGTTTGAACACAAAACATCCTTATCATATACAAGGTATCTTCAAACGACCATTGGGCAGCACTTATCCTGGCTGGAAGTCACGAGACATCGTCGTAGCAATTCCACATTTTACGATGGGGACCAGTCCCCTCCATTACAGAAGCGTAGTTCACTTGGCATAGGTCAATAAAATAAAATATTACTCTGTGGGAAGTCGGCAGCAGTGGTCCAATTGGAGAGATTTGTCATTGCGGTAGGAATGTGGAATCTTTTAAATTGGCTCCGGGCCAGCAATTGAGGTGAACACTGCTCCACGCTCATTTGAGTGTGGAGCTAGCGCTACTCATTTGCGCCTGGAGATGCTTTGACTTTTGACTGCACGATGCACCTCGTGTTTATGAATTTTAATCATAATGGGAATTGTAATTAAATGTTAATTACACTGTGTTGGCCCAAACTCACTGTCCATTGGAACGCCTCGCTCATTAATGCGTTATCTTAAGTGCTCGTGCAGCGATGCGCTCGTTACGTGGTTGAGGTTTGATTGGCAGTAGGGGTTAGATTTGAACCAGAAACACCCTTAACTCAGAAGCCCCTCGAATCACCATGCTCCACAGCCTAATGGGTTATCTTCATAAGCTACAGTCCACAGCCGGTTGTGTAAGTAAACCGTTGACTCTCTTGCTCTCTCGCGCACAGATGCTATTAATACAGCCACATGAAGTGTTTCATTGTGTTTATTGATAATGTAAAAGTTTATGTGTTTATTATAATTTCGAATACAATTAACACACAAGTCAGAGTTTTAAGTTATAATTGCAGCTTTCAGGAGGTTATAAATAAATAAAGGAAACTGATACCTTGCATCAGAAATAGCTTTTTTAAATGTACTTATGTGTATTTAGCCGTATGTGGTAGTTCACGTCTCATTCAGTGCTTTGGAAGGGGGGGGGGTTGGTGAATCGCACAGAGATCATCATTTGACCCTAAACCCTCCTGAACTGACTGCAATTTGGTTTCTTGATTCCACTGTATGGCTTCTTCAGTGCTATCGCCCTATATAGATATGGGTTTGTCCGCGTACTCTGATGTTCTAACAAACGTACGCAAGTTAGAAAGGAATTGGATGACACTTGGACTTACCTCTATCCACTCCCGTGGCTGCTTTTGAAATGCTGAAGATCCCAGTCAACCGCTGCCTTCCCACGACTCTGTTGGGACTAACTAATTAGTCTCCTCCTGTGTCTGCGACGGTGTATGCAATTTACACAGCTGAGTTACTTTCAACAGATGGGTAACTCCTCACTGCTTCACTGTTCGATGGGATCCGTTGGCTTTTGACTTGGGATGCCACCGTTGCATTGCGCGTGCCCCTTCGGTCTTGTCGGGGCATGTGAGGGCAACCTGCTTATATTTGTCTAAATAAGCGGGACCCTCTGTTGATGGACCCCCCGCCCGTACTGGACATCTGTGAAAAAGAGCGAAGTAGCTCATCGACCCCCACCATTGCTCCGGACTGCTTTGATCTGCCAAGAAAGCTTGCGGTGCTCCATCAACGGCTTCAGAACAGCAACAGGTCGTTGTGCCCACACCTCCCCTCCGAAAGTGAAGAATTAAAGACAACCCATAGTGTCGCTGCGGCCCACCCGAACCAGATAATGGAACCCGTATGGCGAACAACTGCATCATCCTACGCCCGCGCTCTCTCCGGCGGACTGAGCAGTATTCGTCGCGACAACTCCCGAAGCTATCGCATGGCTCACAAGACTTGAACGTGGACATGTGCTTTGCACATACTTGCCATACGCTAGAAGAAGAAGATGAGGAAGAAGAAGATAGCTCATTGGATTCCTCCTCCACTCTAAATAAAGATTCTGATTCTGATGGCACCGAAGGGGCTGGCGGCATCTCGCCCAGGGGTTCTGAGATCTCCGCACGGCGATACGAGCACTCGTCTCGGCAGAATCGCGGCAGTTTCTCCGCGGGGCGACAGGGAGGATAGGGACCGCGTGTAATTATACAGCTACCGTGGGTTCTTTGAGGATGTGGTGGCTTTTGGAACCTCCATGGGCCACGCACTCATCAGATGATCCCATCTTAAGTGGTGGGGGTGGGGGCAGGGGGACACGTGTCGGTTTTATTTTGGTTTGACTCTCTGGGGATGGGGCTTAGAGTCAGCTGTTTAATAAGTAACATGTGGAGGGACAGATTGATGCAGGAGACATATTGTCTGCTTATCTATTTTGCATGTGTTTTCAGAGATTTCCATTGCTATCACTATGCCCATACATGTATTCTGTCTTTGATGCATGTGGGGAGTGCGTTTTCACGTGCCCTCCCTATTCTATACCTCACCCAAACTAAAAAGCTGCGGCAAATTCCTTCTTGCTCGGTCTCCATCGTGTCTGACAATTGTTCTTATCGTTGAGTCACACTGACGTATTCACACTTATGTTCTCATTTTCCAGAAAACCTTGAGCTTTTTTTTCTTTTTCCAAAAAAATGAGAATTGGAGAAACATTCCAGTTCAGAACCTTGCATGTAAGATCTCTGGAGTGTGCAGCTTTTATGGGTTCATATATTACTTGCATTATTTCACATTCTCTTAGTCCAGGGGTCGGCAACCTACGGCTCCGGAGCCGCATGCGGCTCTTTACGGGCTGCTTCTTGACGATATGTATGTATGTACATAGATGCATTGCGGCTCTTGAAATACTGAATTTTGTACCGAATTGGAAAGAAATGGCTCTTCTTGTTATTTTGGTTGCCGACCCCTGTCTTAGTCTCATACCAATTACATTTTTCGCAGTTCTGTCTCAAAGCTCATAATCACGTGATCCATTAACTACCCACGGCCAACAGATCGCGAAGTCAGGTTGGGGAACGACCCTGGAAGAGACATCACGGTGCCACACGTTCATTGCCTCGTCAGAAGGCCTCTCTCCGCTACTACCACAATCCTCGTAGCTTCGCTCAGCCAGCTTAAGAATTACCCCAAATTTATGTGTTTAATTTGTGCAGTAGCATATACACTTGCCAAGTGAGAGCCATGAAGATGTCCATGGATGCCCATTCGTGAAGCAGGCTTGGACCGTCCACGGAATACACCGGAGAACCTCGTTTAATGTCAAGCGGTGACAGAATGTCCTCGAGCTCTCACTTCCGCTTGTGAGTTTAGCGCTCTCACAAAAGCACTGTCCGGCTGGATATTTAATCTCTCATTGACGCCTCGAATATAAATGCGGGGGATCTTGGCGATGCCGGTGTTGTGCTCCGGTGCGGTCCTTATACCTCCCCGTGCCGTCCGGCAATCTGTGATGGCTGTTGCAGCAGCTAAATGTGAGAGGAAAAAAATAAATCTTACTTCAATTACATATTTCCACCGCATGGTAACAGCGCCGAAACAAAAGCCCCCGCCCGCATTATCTCCCTAATCCTCGACGTCTTCGCCTCCCGCTCATCCGGCTTTGCGATGCGTGGTTGTGCAGTGACGCCCGTGGTTCCCTAGCGATGTCTGCCCGAGTCTTTCAAGGGCTCTGTCCTTGGGTGTGCGGTGGCCCCGTTTGCTCGCTCGCTAGGACAGACGCGGGGGTGGGGGCGGAGTGATTAGCCATGACCCTAGAAGAGGAGGCTTTACCCCCCCCCCCCCGCTTCAGTCGTTTGTTTGATTTTTCCTCGGCTATTATTGCAACATTGCTTCTTTTCCAAGGGGTGTCACAGTGGAATGCGCCGTTTATTTCAACACGGCTTTGCTGCTTTAGACCCATTGTTTGGCATGGCTGAGGTATTCGCCATTAATTTATTTTGGATGAACAATGATAAGAGTAGTCCCGGTGCCTGGCATGGGAATGTGGAATTTCTCGCACTGGTGCAGGACTATCGAAAGAGATGTGCACCGCCCAATGTCCGTTGAAGAAGAAATTTATGTATTTATTTATTCATAAACTCGGGGAGCCTCAAGACCATTCTTACGGCGCATACTCCGCTGGGATGCCGGGCAAACTCGTTCATGAGCATTCGACATGTGGAAGGAAACCAGAGTGCTCCACAAAATTACTTCCACTTTGAAGGGGATAATGGTAAGACAAAGTCCATACCGATGGATCAATCGCAAACTTGCTCAGCTGTCATCTACAGACTACAGTGCAGTCCCTTAAACTGACAGTACTCCACATGTGATGATGATGATGATAATCGCTGAGTGTCTCCACTAGCCTTGCGTCACCGTGCCCGGCAGACTGAAATGAAGCGTCGCGAACTGCGCAGCAGAGCGCATCCGTTGGATTGAACATCGTCGCTTATCACAGCTCGCTCTGAAGACCTTCTGGAATGGCGAAGGGTTACACGGATACACATCTAGTTGCCGATTGTCACACCACATTGCATACCAAATATTCTGCTGCTCGTCCCTCTGTCCGCAAGCACTTCCTTCTCTCTTCGAATCTCCCTTCGATTGG